CGAGCTTTCGGATATCGCATTTAGTTAGATTATTCCATAATTCGCATCCATATAACATCGACGGAAGTATAACTTTCCTGTAGATGCTAATAAGAGTAAGCGGTTTCGTATAAGTACAGTCAGTTCCCATGCGTGTGATTGAGTGTAACATGTTACGGCCTTTCTTACAAGCGTTGTCAACGGCGTCGGCGTTTTTCAGGTTGGAGGACAGAAGTACTCCTAAGTGTACCTCCTTATCGACTATACGAAGTGGGTTGCTATTAATCATCCAATTCAGATTTCTGCATGTACTTCGAAAAGCTACTATGTTGCATTTTGATGCATTAAACTGAAATTTCCATTTTTCAGCATACCTTTGTGTGACACCTAGCAGAGTTTGTAAGGCCCTAGGGCTAGTAGTAACAAGGGCAACGTCATCAGCTAAACATGGATTGCCACATTCAATGGATTGTACTTTCGTGCCAACGTTAGTAGTCTCCAATTCAATTAGCATATCATTAATATGCAGCAAGTATAGAAATGTCGAGATGATTCCACCTTGTCTGACTGATCTTTGGACCTTGAACCAACGAGATCGGGCACGATTGTAAACTACCGCGCTGTATATGTCCTGATATGCGTTACGCAATATTCTGTACAAATTTCCAGTGACTCCAATCTTGTAAAGCTTACTGAATATACTGTTGTGTTGCACCGTGTCAAAAGCTTTATATGTATCTAAGAATGCTACATAGACTTTGCTGTTCTGTTCTAAATTCTCATATATACACTCGCGCAGACTAAATGCTGTAGTTATACAGCTTAAACCTTTCTGAAAACCCTGTTGTTGAGCAGAAGGAAATTCAACGTGGGAATCATGAAGCCAGCGTGATACTCGTTTGCAAATCACTCTTTCCATAAGTTTGTAGAGTACCGGTAGCAAGGAAATCGGTCTATAGTTGTTAGGGTCATTCTTTTTCTTAAAGCCTCCTTTATGAATAGGAACAAGGATTCCTCGTTTCCACGTTTTTGGAATATATCCTGTGGTTCGGATGGAGTTCATTAGTTTTTGGATAACTTCGATGAGGGCTTTTCCTCCAAAGCGAACGTGTTCGTTTGATATCATATCTGCTCCAGGAGCTTTTCCAAGTTTCATCTGCCTGACAGCTGATACGATTTCTTCAAAAGTGAACTTGCTATCAAGATCGTCCTTTACTGCGAATTGCAAATTACAGTCATCGATGATCGTGTTATCTGCATATAATTTTTCGTAAAAGTCCGCAAACGTTTCGACTATGCTTTGGGGGTCACGGGCAAGTGTTCCCTCGTAGACTAGTTCCGTGCAAGCATCGAGTGTTTTGTTTTTACGCTTCCGCACAATTCTCCAGAATAATCTAGCATCCACATCCGCTGTCTCGTCTAGCTCGCTATTAACTTGATCTAAATATTTATCGTGTGTTTCTCTATGTAGGTTCCGAAAGACGTTCTTTGCGTTTTTATAGTTCCTGTATGAATCATATTGTAGCCCACGAGGTCTGTTTTCATTAATCCATACCTGACGGTACCTCAGTGCTGCATTGTGAGCACTTTCAAGCTCTCCTGTCCAATACGGTTTAAGATACTCCCTAAAACGTCGTTTAGGGATAGTTTCATCAGCTGATATTGCCATGCATAAGGTTAACTGTTCATATAATGCATCGATACCAAACTGTGTCGACATGTCATATTCATGAATATTACGTAGCTTATACGCCAAGGTTAGCTGATATGAAATCAGATGATCAACGGTAGCTTTGCTCCACGCAATATGGTCCACGTTATCTTTCGGTTGTATTTTGTGATTTGGAGCGCTGAAATCAAACCCACAAACGATTGGAAGGTGATCCGAAGCGATCTCAATATCGGCACTGTCTGTGATATTACTATGGGATATATTGCTAAGTGTACTATCATCAACAAGAATATAATCTAAAGTAGTTTTGCAAGGTCTAAACGTATACTTTGGCCCTTTGCAAATCGGCAGTGTATTTACGACACACAAGTTCAAATCGTTTATAAGGTCGTTCAATGCACTGACTTTCTGTTTCGCCGCGTAATATTGGGGATTATCTAAAATACGCGCATTAAAGTCACCAGCTATTACAACTTTTCCTCTTAGTGAGTAGAAGGTAAGTATGTCATATAGATACTGCAGAGTGTCTCTATACTCTTTAATGTCATTATCACTTTGCATATATACTCCAAAAAAGTAAACGGATTGCTCGGAAACTGTTGTCATTTTTATAGCAGCAATACGATTATTAGTAACTTCTTCTAAGGAAGAAATGCAATATCGTAGCGACTTTTTCACCAAAAGCGAAACACCAGTACCATTACTAGAACATTCGACAGTATTGGCGTTAATTGCGTAATAATCAGAGTTTATCGTGTCCAAGAAAGGTAGTGATTTATGACTCAGTTTATGTTCGGTTATAACGGCGATGTCACAGTTCGATTGCTTTAATAGCGTAGACAAACCTTTTGCTGATGAAAACGCTCCTCGAACATTCCATGTAAGTATGGAGAATGCCATTAGGTATAAATATAACGCTGTTTGTAACATTCTGTTTTATCAATATGGATGTGTTTCACTAATGACGGTCGTTGTAGCGCCAGTAATTTTCGGAATCACGGTCGTAATTGCTGTAATAGTCTCCATTGTCATTACGCCATTCGTAATCATCTGTGTTCGGATTACTGAAGTCATTACGTGATTTCCAAGACGAATCGCGATCGGAGTTTTTACGCTCGTCTAGCTTTTCTTGCCATTCTTTGCTGCTGAGCCAAGGTCTGCAAGTTACACTGTTGGGCCAGAAATCTGGAATCTCTACCAAGTACGCATGGGCTGCGGAAACATTGACCTTTGCTGTAAAGGAACCGTTACGCTGTTCGAACATTCGTAAGTCAGTAACTTTTACTCCTTTGTTTCGAATGAATTTGAGAATACCGTTTTTGGTACTTTCAGATCCGATTCCACTTAAATAGTAACGCGCTGTTTGTTTACGATGAACACCAATAAACACGTCATTGTCCTCTTTGGCGTCGTGATTTAATTTCACTGTCGATGCATTGTTTCTATTTGTTTTTGTTGACCTTGTCGTACCTGGTTGATTAGCGCTTATAAGTGGCCCATCGTTACCAACTGGCGTAGGTTTAATCCTCGACGGCGGTGTTGTCGGTTCGGAGGGCTTCCGTAGGGTCCTTGTTGACTGGTGACAGGTAAGGTAGTATCGCTCACACCTTCGCCAGGTGAGACGGTCCCGTTAGGAATTTGAGCCAGTGGTACGGTGGGGTTCCGTGCAGGAGTTATACCTCCACTGTCGCCCCGCAAAACGTCCGAATATGACTTCGGGATTGTTCCAGTTTTAATTGTAAGACATGAAAGTGCATTTCGTAATTCTATGACAGTATCAGCAAGATGTTTATTGTCCGTTTTCATTTCCTCCATTAATTTGAGCATTCGACACTCTCTTACTTGACTGTCTTTCAGTGCGTTTTCTACTGCTTTCAGTCGTTCACAGATGGAATGAACTATACTATTGTTTTCAATTGCAGTACCAACATCTTGGATATGGTGACGTAATATCCCCTGTGAGAGCTCAGACTGAGTACTTTCACGAAGATGTGAACCAGAGAATTGACTACCCGGAATTGTCCCATCGAGAGCCCCCACACCAGTAGCTCTACCTTTACTGAATACAGAGTCTATCTCGGAATTATCACCAGAAATAAAGGCTTGAATAACATAGCAGTCTTTAGCATATTTTATATAACTCGGGCTTGCAGACGTAGTTTTCCTGACGACAGGCTTTCCTTTTGGACATTCTGAAATGTTCATCGCTCGGCCAAGTAAAATGTTTCTATACCAGATCACAGTCCCCTCTGATTGCTCACATATCTCGGTAATTTTCTTCACATATTCATCTCTTGCGAGATTGATAACTTTACTGTCTATATAATCGATTAACTCTTGATTATGTGACCGATTATGGTTTGATGACTGGGGTAATACAGGGGAATGGGCCTGTGGAACACAATGAACCAAATCGACAGGGACATCATAGGTGGAGGGATACATAGGATCACAGTCACCCGTGACATTTTGAACACTTACAGGCTCTTTTACGAATGTTTCTTCACTATTTCCTTCAAAATCATGCTGAAAGTCACTAACATCATCTTGCATCATAGCTGATCTCAGATCACCATAGCAACTCTGGCTACTGGTACACACATTACGAGTTCCTTTTCGGAGGCGATGTTCCGCGTCACCCTCTATGGCGGCCATTATCTAGTTCATAGTCAAAATCAAAGATGGCTTCCTGTCAGCCATTTTGCTTTTATAACAGACCCAAAATCAAATCTGCATGAGGGACCAAGGGGAACATTCATATGCATTTTAAGATCCATTCCGTACATATCAAGAAACAGTGATAAAGTTTCAAAAGTAAAAATACAAGATGGCCATCTTTTTGCCATTTTGTTTTTCTGAACAGTCCCAAAATTACATAGGTACAACTAAGGACCAAGGAGCACCTACATATGGATATTGATAGCGATCCATCATGTACTTCTCAAGAAATAGCAATAACAATCTTTCAAAGTCAAAATCCAAGACAGCCGTCTGTCAGCCATTTTTAGTTTTTTTATCAGACCCAAAATCAAATGGGCCACCTGATAATGGTGGGCTAAAAAGATGCTGGAAGAGTTCAAAAAGTTTTTTTTCTAACAGAAGAAAAAAATCAGTTTTGATCTTAATTTTTGAACTGAAATAAATGATTCCTAACTTTCGGCCAAGAGCATATAATATTCCTTTAAGCCATTCTTTTCAATGAATTTGTTCAAGCTTTAATATTTAAAATTTTGAAGCAATACAGAGTTAAGTTGTAACAATTTGGGGTAAAAAATTCAACAATTTCTGTAAACATACAAAGGACTGACAATCCAAATCAGTGATGCATGAAAGTAAAAATTCAAAAATATAAGTTCACACATCCATTTATTAAAATTAACAATCACTAGTACACAATAAAGAAAACAATATGAATTATCCATTCTGGCTTGATGAATGTAAAGCTTGTCAAACTGAGAAATAATCCAACACATTATTTTCATATGGATGTATTTCTTTCACAAGGAAAGAAGCATAAAATCTACAAAAATAAATATACTGGAGTATTTCATTTGTTCATCTACTATGGTTTATCCAAAGCCAAAGACAATTGAAACATGATGACACTAATGAAATGAAAACCTGTCAAAATTGTTGACAAACAAATGAAATGAATGTAAACATGTCTCATGATTTTGTTTGCTTGCAACTTTCCCCATGTTTTCCCTTGTGTTCATCATTCCTTCTGTTCCTACACATCTGTCATTCTCCTTTCCACACTGCAGACATTCTTCCTCAACTGTTTTTCACACTGAGCTGCCAAATGAAACTGTCATACACGATCCAATGCTTCCAGTAAGATGATGCTATTCCCTCGGACAACCTTCAGGAAAGAAAATCATTTCTTAGGAATACTGAAAATCTCTGGACAATAATTTGAAGGATGTCATAAAAATGACCTTGTTACTCGGCACAAGAAGCAAAACTTCACAAACTTTTTTCCTTCTCGTACATACTTGTCTAGATTTCAAAAAGTAAGATATATACATTAATAATCTCTTTGCCAGCCAATTTTTGGGACTTTTGTGTATGAATCACTGATTCCAAAATTCTCTTTACAAACCATGTCACTCTCTCAATCTCAATATTTTTATATGCAAAGTTGTCTTTTAAAACAGTTTGAAAACTTTCAGTTCGTGATGTATATTGATGGCTCCATAAAGATGCTAACACAGCCTACATACCGTCCAAAGTCATGCAAGGCTGTTAATGGCAAATATCTTGTAAACTAAATTCAGAAATTCAAGAAGTTATTATCAAATTCTTTCAAGTAAGAGATGAAATTACATTTAAAATCTATCATTTGAGAGTAAGTTTTAATTTCTATCTTACCACCATTCCAATGGAATTTTTTTCTCCAGATTTGCAATCTTCAATACTTTCGTCTACTACCAAATTCATAAATGGGTCAAATCCTCGAAGAATTCCTGTGATTTGTCTCCCTCCATTGAGCTTCACTGCAAACAAAACAAGAAATGTATCTTTAGAAGTTGGAATACATGGAGTTTCCATCAACTTTTCACAAAAGCATGCAATGTAATGTAGCACAGGTAAACCACTAAAACAAAAGTGCATCGAGTGCAACGAACATAGCAAATTAAAAGACTTTCAAAATTTATGGCAAGTGAATAGATGATATACCAAAATAAGTTGCTCCAATTGTTGAGTGTATGAAGATGGCTACTTACATGTCAGTTTCTTCTCCATGTACCTGCAAAATTAATATTTGATTGTTATTGCTGGCGAGACATTGGTATGTATAACTAAAGTGCATAGCCATTGGGAGTATTTAATGCAAATATATTAATGAGCATGAATTCACTTGTTTTTTCTTATCCAATGGAGACGATCAAATGTGATTTTTACAAATATCCAAACTGAATTCTCTTTTCGAGTTAAATTTTACAATGATGTTGTCGTTTATTAATCATTTTTTAAAATATGAAGCCCTTTTGTTGCATCTTTTAAAAGAACTCCGTGTTTCTATTTTAATATATCCTGCATTTGAGTAGGCAATAACCGTCACTGAAATGCTTGACCATTACGTATATATGGGAATGTCCCAAACCTGCTTGGCCCAAAGAGTAACTTTCTCTTGCGACTTGAAACTTCCATGAAGTGGAAACGTTCTATATAAAATAAGGAGTGAATTATAGAAAAGATAAGCGTACATCAACGTACGCAATCACAACGTTTAAAACGGTAAAAACATACTCATTTCGGACGCAGGTTTCCAATGCAACATCTAGCGTGGGACTAATATATAGGTTTGAGATGAATCTAAATATTCATTTTAGCAAACTTACTTCTTGAGCTCTGGTGGATGGGCCTTACTCATGTTGATTTATATGGATTGAAATATTAGCTTTAACAATCAAAACAAAGCCGAATTTCAGATTTCAATCAACGTTACGTTAACGTTTGGGCATATAATAAATACAGAGACGTGCCTGATTAAATATCCGGATCGAATCATCGTCTTATACTTTATACGCGGGTTTCTCACAATGTATATATTTTTGTAAGAAAATGTGTCTTAATATGAACTATTGTATATGAAAGTGAAATATAAGATATATTTTTATTAATTTCAACATATTTTTGTTAATCGGAAATCGCCTTCGCCGTACCAAACTTTAAATTTAGTGCTCATAATTGATCTCAGTCTTCAAAACACTTAGTACAACAGGACCTCTGTCGTCACTACTTTCTGTGCGCTAATCTTCAGCGCCATTTCTCATTTACAAAGAGTACTGTCACATTGATATGCAACGCCTCTGAACTGACGTTAGTAAGTTACGAACTCGACCCTATTTCGATAGTGTCAAAACTAAGTCATAATCACATGTTATTTTCAATATGATAGTTGTAGATAATACGGCAGTTCTTTGATTTGTCCCCGACAAACTTGTTGAAAACATCCTGATTTGAAGTTGACCATGAACAGATGAAATACAAGGCATCCACTGAAGGAAATTGACCTTCTCCCTTACTCACATCAATATATACAGTAAATGTATGCATGCTTGATTGATTACATAAACATTAGAAGACAACATTCGCCGAAGCATTTAGATACTTATAGCGTGAATGTTTATTTAAAGAACTGCTGTGTATTGATATTGTTGTTTATGTAAAGGTATATATGATGCTCACAATGACAAATGGGTGTGTACTCTCTTTATGGTATCCTGACGTTTCACCTAACAAGGTTCGCATAAAGTCGTTTCGCCCCTAGTATCATTCGCACCACGACGTTTCGCACACAGTGCCAAGACTGTTCACACACTCTTGTTTTTATCATGTGTATAGATATAGATACTCAGGTTTGAAAGTTTTCAAAATATCAGAATTTATAGCTTTCAGGTTGAAGATGTCTGACGGAGACCAGAACACATTCACTGTATTCGATACAGATACAAACCAGCCTTTAACGGTGACAGTAGCACCCTCTGGTGCTGGTGGTGATGATGGACAAACACAGGGCATCCAATACATAACACAGGATGGGGTACATGTGTCACACATACCACAGGGTGCAGAGGTTGTTCAGGTACATATATTAACTTAGTTCCTAATTAGCTTAGAATGTAAAAACATAGATATGTGGTAATCTTTGCCATGTTTTAATAGTAGGATGATAAAAGGCCATTTTAATAAATTCAAAAATGTGGATTTTACCAAAATGATGAAAAAAAAATCAAGAAGTTGTTCGCAAAAATCCCCAGTGACTGTAGTATTTACCGCTCATTTAGGAAGGAGAAAAAACACCATACTAATACTATTATTGGATAAGATAATGATAGATAGATGTTCTTTGTCATAATGGCCACTGAAATGTGTCACATTACATATTTACTTGAGAAGTTTTGTTGATTCCAGATTCACAAAGAAAACACATAAAATTTCCAGATGGTATGAGTATTATGTTTGACTTATTGTTACAGGCATCAGAGCCTCAGTCTATCTACACAACCCTTGCCAACACCCCTGTTCCCACACCTGCTTCACAGATTATTGCCAACACCAATACTGTGGTACAAAATGTGGTGCAGCAGCCAGCCAACATTATCCAGGCACCACAGCCTGTAGGCACACCAGTTGGCACAGGAACCACAGCCCTGAACAACATGGGGGTCCCACAAATGTTGTTTTTAAACCAAGTCACCATCAATGGACAGACATCATTTGTTTTGGTGGATGCAAACAATAAACCTGTGCAGCTGCCTCAGGGTATGTTGGAGGTTTTTTTTTTTCATTTCATATATAAGTTATCAATATGTTTTCACCGCTCAGGATTAAGAAACTTTTTATACAACCTGAATTACTCATTTATCTCAATATATGTTGAACAGTTAAGAAACATTTTAAAAAATTGATTATATTTTTCACCACATATATTGCGCATGCCCTGAAAGGATATTAGACTTATAAGAAAGTAAGATAACTGTTTCGCTTGTACAAATATATTTTAAGTTTGTTGTATGATTTTCACTGAAAGGGACATCACAGTTCAAAATTATTGTTGTTTATATGCCTAATTACCTTTAGATACTGTATCCAAATTCAAGAGTCCATCATGAATGTCCAGTTTAACTGCTGAGATTATCTGGGAAATTCCTCCAAATGTAGCACTGATAATATAGATAGCTCATAGCCAATTCCAAAAAGAGGCAGTGCAACGAAAGAAGTAATTTTCGTCAACTGCACTGATAATAACTATAAACACATGTTTACTGTAAAATTTTATTTTCTAAAGATTGTGAAAATAGTGTATAACAACCAAACCTTATTGCCTTTTGGGGCCACATCTTAAAACTTTTCACCTTTGATTTACTCCGGCTGTTGGGGTTTCCTCATTCCTGCAGCAGTTGTTTCACTGGAATATTTCTATTGATTATCCTATTGTGATCCTCAAAGTATACTTGCACTATCTGACAACTTTTCACTCTGTAGTGACTGTTTTTTTTGTTTTGTTTTTGTTTCGGACTGTTTCTGTTGTGTTACCATATTGTTTATGATATTAAGCTCTTTCATACTTAGTCAGTTCCTTTCAAGCTGTTGTGGTTATGGAAAGTCCAGTAATACATGTTGTTAATCTCATGTTTTGAGGATTAATTGTTTGGTTAATTTCTATTTAAAATTATACAATAAGGAGAGAAAAAAATACTTCAACGTGATGGCCCCTTCATGTTAATACTTTATGATACATGTATCTCATTTAATTAGCATAGAGATGGAGAGTGTTTTTGCAAAGCAAAATGTTATCTTACAAAAGATAAGTTATGAAATTATCTTAACATCTGCACTTTTCATTGACCAGAAATAATTATTTCTAGTCCTGAATTCTGTTATTACAATGCTTTGTTGCAGGTATTCAAGTGATAAACTTACCCACACAGCAGGCAGGAGGTCAACAGCTTCCGGTGGTAAGTGTTCACAGCTTTGATTGTGGCTTGGGTTATATTTCACAGTCTGGTACAAGTATCAGTGTGTGGATAAAACTGTCTTGATTGTTGGTTATTTTTCACACTTTTGAAGAATATGAATGGGGTTTGTAGCTCTTTATGATGCTTTTAGTGAAGTTATTAGTAAAAATCTCCAAATCTCATCAGAATTTTAGAATTATGTAATAGATTAGATATCATGAGACGCATGTTGATATACCATGTAAATAATGCCACATGATCCACTCAGCATTGCAAAATGTGCAGATTATGTCAAAATTATTTACTGGATGATGTGGAAATTGTAGAATTGAAGCTTTTTAGGTCATCTGACCCAAAGAGTCAGGGTGACCAAAGCCATCATGTTTTGTTTATTGTTGTGTGCCACTGTGATCCATGCATAAACTATCCATTCAAATGACTTTTTCAAAACCAAAATGTCAAGGGTGCTGATATTGGGGCTGTAGCATTCTGGGATAAAGCACTACCAAGTTTGTTAAAGTGAATTACCTCGACCATTTACGGTTAAATATGTATAGATATTTCAACAATGTCTTCTGAATAAACAAAAGTTCTTGTGTGTTGATATTCAGCCTGTGGCATGCCAGGATAAATATTACCAAGTCTGATCTTCTGATGATCTTGTCTCTTTTAAAAGGTTACAGATTTATTCAAATGTTCGACTTTGACCAACTTTCAATGTGTCTGGGGTAACTTAAGTTGAGATCTTCAAATTTCTTTTTCAACAAGCAATAAGTCAGAGTTGAGGTATTTGTATAGTGGCATCTATAAGGTATAGGATTTCAAATTTGCAGAAATGTTTATTGAACAAACAATGTCTTCTATGTAAGCTGTAGAGTAGCAATTTAGGCCTATTTGGTCTCTTTCATATACAGGTCTTTATAGTCAGATGAACATTAAGGCCCATGGGCCACTTGTTTTTGTGTCAGTATCATTTTGTATATTATTGATTTGAGTAAGAAATTTAGTATGAAATGGGCACTGATGTACAATTCTCTGTATTGGCAATACTCTCTGAGCAACAGGAAAGGAACTTAGATTATATTGTATCTACAAATTGTGTTTCTCATTATTTTCAGGCTGGCAATGACTCAGGTGAAGAGCCCCTCTATGTCAATGCTAAACAGTATCACAGAATTCTAAAACGACGCCAGGCAAGGGCAAAGCTCGAAGCACTTGGCAAGATTCCAAAGGAACGACAGGTATTGCTGCTTTACACATAGCATGTATCTGGTATTTCCTGTGTGATGGTGAATTCACCAAATATTCCCAGGAACTGAAATTGTGTGTGTACAGCTAATTGTGATTTTTTTCATGCCTTTGCCGAAAAAGGAAATATGCTCTTGTATATTCATCAATCAGAACTTTGTAGGACATCTCTAAATAGCTATACTTTAGCATAGTCTATACATGGTTTCAGTACTTAATTACTGTAGTATAGTCCATATTGAGATTTTGCTGTGCCGCTTTACACATATATATTTAGGAAATACCACAAATCTGCAATAAGGAAAAGGGAAGAGTTCATCAACACATTGCATTTGTTTTATTTTGCAGAAATACTTATATGAATCTCGTCATAGGCATGCATTAAACAGACAGCGAGGGTTAGGCGGCGTGTTCGTCAAAGGTGCGAAAGGTGAAATGGAGATACCAGGAATTGATAATGGTCATGTTGCGAACGATAATATAAGCACACCAGTCAGGAGCCGAACACCAGTGGCCATAGCTCCACAGCCCAATAATGTGTCAAACTCTTTATCTCAGATCTCATCCACGCTACTTCCACAAACTCTCTCTGCAAATCTAGGCAATGTGATGACGAATATTTCACTTGGTCAGCAGCTTGGACAGCAACTGGTGAATCCCACATCTCTGGCACACATAACCAGCAATGGCGAAGGAGGATTGGACCACCAGGCCAGTTCAAACAGCATCCTTAATTCATTATCAACGTAAACCTGTGTTGATCAACGTCATTTTGTAGTCATAATTTGAATAAATTTATTCCGATCAATTTACATTGTGGAAATCTACAGCCTTAATAATGACAGACTGTGGAGATAAAATCATTGACCATGAGGAACTGAAATGTCATTACCTTGGTGTTTCATTCAGGTGGAGCTGAAAGAAAAACAGCAAAAAACACTTTTTATATAATTTTGCTCGGTTTTTGTAATGGAAAAGAAGTGGCCAGTGAATCAACACTATGTTTTTGTCCTTTTCTGTAGAGATTTTCTGTATATTAAAATTTCTTCTGATGACGAAGGTTGTAAATATGATTTTGACATGTTATTTGTAATAAAACCTCATCATCACAGAGTAACAAAAAGAACTTGGTACAGTCTATCTTTGTGCCTATTCATGACTTTGGTGTTGAATTTAAATTTCCTGTTTTCATGCCCATTATGATTGAGTGTCATTTTGAACTATCATAAATTTCTTTTCTGTTCATTTACCCTTTAATGGATACAGGTAAAGATCTGTAATTTTGTATGTAGTTTTTGGTCTGGTTCATGCTTGGACAAGTATGTTTCAAACTTGTAGTTCCCTCAGTCTGCTCAGAGGTAATTCTGATTTACACTATGTTCTCTCGTGTCTATTACTCAATCATGTAATTGCCTTTGAAGGTGAAATTTTCCAAGTCTGGCACAAATCATCAAGTCATTTGAAAATTAAGGTCTATCCCCACGGGCTGGGTAAGGAGCTCACTAGCATAACAGAGATCCCGAAGGGATCTTGGTACCCACCATCATTTGATCTTTAGAAGTTTGATCTTCTTCCTTCTTTTCTCTGTTGTCACTCAAATTATATAAATTTTGAAAATTCTTCTGAAGATATAGCAACAGTAATTGTTAACTGCCAAATCCAAGATGGTCGCCTTTTGGCCATACAGTTTTTTTCCTTCTCGAGAAATAGCAATAACAAACTTCAACTGTCAAAATTCTAGATTGCTGCCTGTCAGCCATTTTACCTATCTGATCAGTCCCAAAATCAAAAGGGCAAAACTAGGGACCATCTGAAGCACACACAAGAAATTTGATTAATTTATTAATATCCATCAAGTACTTCTCTTGCATTAGAATAGAAAATAACAATATTTCATTGTCAAAATCCAAAATGGCCACCCGAAAGCTATCTTGCTTTTCTGTTCAGTCAGAGTAAAACAAACGAAACAAAGGACTATGGTGAACCATCACATTAGATAAGAGAACTTCTCAAGAAATGCTGATAAAAATTTTTCATAGATAAAAATGCGAGATGGTCGTCTGTCAGCCATTTTATTTTTTTAGCACACATTCATCAGATGATGGGCTATTCATATCGCCCTGTGTCTGTCGTCCATCCGTAAACAATTTTTATAACTATTTCTTGAGATGCACTAGATGGATCTTTCTCAGATTGTATGTGTAGGTTCCCCTTGGTCCCTGGTTGTAACCATGTGATTTTGAAATTGATCAGAAAAATAAAAATGACCGACATGTAGCCATCTTGGATTTTTTCAATTAAGTTTGTTATCGCCATTTCTTGAAAGGTCTCTATGTATCTTCTATTTCATATGGAAGTTCCATTTGGTCCCTGGTTGTACCCTTCAAATTTTGACTGAACAGAAAGACAAAATGGCTGACAGGTGGCCATCTTGGATTTTGACGGAAATATTTTCATCGCTCTTTCTTCAGAAGTACTGGATAGTTCTTTCTTAAATCTCATATGGAGGTTCCCCTTGGTCTCTAGTTCTGTCCATTTGATTTTAGGACCAATCAGAAAAACAAAATGGCCAACACTTCACTCTATTTGCTCTGGGTTTCGATTGGCCTCCAGTACATTAGTGAGGTAGCTATCAGCTAAATAACCCTGGCTGTTCAAACGGCAATCCACCAACTACTTCATACTCAACTTCTCCATAAGACCTATCAAAGGTCCAAAAGGACTTGGCTTGTATCAACTTATTTTGACAATGCCAAAAAAAACTTCAAGCATGTGATATTTGCAAAATGGCTGTGGGTGTTTTTATTTCATATATTATATTCCAAGTTCCTACTTTAACATCATAAATCTTGCAGATGTATGGTTAAAAATAACGAACAAGAGAATTCATCTTTCCTCTTTTAATTGAATCTGTCCACATATTTATTAAGTTGTACACAATGTGTATCTGGAACAAGAGTATTCACAATCGCACATAAACTGCTGAACTTGTATCGGTTACACAAGTTAACCAGAATCACAACCACAATCTCAATCAGCACTACCAAGTCTTGGGCAAAAAAAAACTGTATAAACAATCCAATGAACTGTGTTTTAAAACCTTCCTAAGTTGAAGAACATTACTTATAATGAAACACTTTACTAATATCCATCAAGAACTTGAAAGATCTCAAAAAAAAAAAATGTCTTTGCCTCAAAAAGGGATTTATGCAATTAAAGTAATACATAATTTGAGGTTATCAGACAAAGACTGTTTTAAATATAAATAAATTTGTTTCAGAAAATAGAGCTCTATTATCTTTCATCTTGTAAGGGACATTTTCAGACACTAATCGTATGAAGGACCATTCCCCACACATCAAGATCATTATTCTAATCCTGCCTTTAATAAAGACATTCAAATTTTTGGCTCTATCCTCACTGTAACATGTTCATCCTTTTTTGACCCTTCATCTTTCACTTGATAACATTCCGTTCATCCATCCCATCGATATAGAAGCAAATTTCAGTTGCATCTTCCGTAATGAACTATGTCCCTCACCCCTCAAATATTCACATCTGGAACAGACTTTTACATATGCAACATGCCACAGGACCTTTTAAAGGACATTTCAAGTAACCATTATCAACTCAAAAACATCATTTTCAAACAACTTTCACTCCTGGCAGAAGTAGTGACATTTGCAAAGAACACGTCAAATTCAATCAAATACAGCAGGCACCAGCAAATATGTTTTCATATTTGACAGACATACCTCACAACACCCTCTGAAGAAATTTCTTCCAGACTGACAATACTTAAACACCACACAAAACATTTCCTTTTCTTTAGAGACTCAAGAAATTAAGTCCAAACACTCTCACACCAAAGAAAGACAGGATGGCAATAGAGGAAATTAAATCAAAGATACATATCAGTTCAACTCAAATTATGCCAGATACTTTTCAAATCATCCACATTATTTACACCATTGCAGGTGTCAAAATACCGACACTTGACAACAGAGTTGTGTAAACTGGAACTTTGAGCACGACTTTCATTCAAAGAGAGGTACCGAGAAAATTACTGACTACAAGGGTAAATTATTCGTATTTTGACAATCACCCCATTATCAGCAATTGTTTAAATACATATAAATAATATATAAATATTTCTTAAAAAATCTTTCCTTATTGTTTGACTTTGATATAGTCACATGATAAAATACTGATGAATATTCATTAAAAGTTGCACAGCTTTCAACAGCAAGTGCTTGGTCAGAATACATCACAGATCATTGCAGGCTAGCCCTAAGGTTTTGGACGTGTTTTGCAACACATAGATCCAAGCACGAACACCGTCTCAGATCATGCGTCCAAGATACACAACATCTTCAGGATCTTGTGGTGTTAACGTTATTGGAAAGAATCCAATCCTTCTGTAATGGTCGATCATGCATTTATCTCCAACATTCATTTCAACGTGTACACCTTCCGACCCACTTGACTTGATAGCATTAAGTGCACATGCCAAAAGTCGTTTTGGTACTGAATAGTCGACTACTCTACTCGGAATAAAGTCAACTCGCACTGCTGACTGGTACTTTTGTAGTACAGTCTCCGGAACACATCGCTGTTCGTTGTGAAAACTTGCTATCACCTCCTGTAGAAAAAAAAAACAAAAAAAAAGAATGTCAATACTGGATAGTCTCACTTCATGTGAAAATAGACATGTCAAACTGCAATTTTTTTTCTGTCAAATGATGGGGTTGCTGATACTGTGTTCAAAGAGATGGATCACTAACACAACCCTAAGTTTTCCTAAGTAACTCTAGTTTGCTCACAAATCAAGACCTTCCCACTCCTTTAGTACCCCCATGCATTGCCATTTCCATAAGAACAAAGTAAATATTTGTCTACAACTTAAATCCTGCTGCAAAATATGACTCATGACTTTGAACAAGGGTAAACATAATTCTTTCAGCAAATTTTGCTGGACTTCATCCAAAGAACCCACTGCCAAATTATTATTTTCTAGGAGTTTCAGAAAATCTGAAGTCATTTGAACATTTCAAACTTATTTGACCCCTGACCTATAATTTTAGTCAAAGATCTTGAATTTGGACCAAAGGCATTCCTTTAAGGAAACATTGTCAGACTTCACCCCAAGAAGCTACCAATCAAATGCAAAGTCCACTAAAGAAAAATATTGATGGCAGATGGGGGGCACTACAATGTGACATAGGCTCATTTTGTTATCACACCAGATGAACTAATGCAAGTGTACTCAAAATTATTAAAAAAAGAGCTATTGCAACCCGCTTTAACTTACATCAGCAGGACTTGGTTGATCCTTCTGCACTAGTGGGTATTTTTCCTTCATGGCAGGAATCCATGCTATCTTGGCCCTCTCCTGAAGCTGCCGAGAACTCAGTGTTGTAACAGCATATCCACACACGCCAACATCGTCTTCCACCACGAAACAGTTCTCTGGACTCAGTGTCGTCATTGCACCTAATATCCTGTAAATTATATTTGCATACATTTATTTCCAAAAATTTCTTTTCTATTTTTTCTCCTTTGATATCAGAGTTAATAATTGTAGTTTTCCATTGATTTGTATTCCAAAAGAGCTCTCAATCAATGTTGTGAACCACTCCCTGTATGGATCATCTCTAAAAGTGTTAAGGTGACCTACCTGTCTCCTATCAGTTCTGGCATGTCAGGAAAGACTTCAGTACCATCCATACCATCATCACAGGTTTGTAAACAAATTTGGTAAACAGCACTCTGAAACAGAAAGTTTTGCAAGTTTGTACTGAAAGCAAAAATTCTCTACAAAATGTTGTAAGTCTACGTAATTTTCATGTTCCAATAACTCCCAACACTGGTGTTCGATGCTCATTTCAGCATTTGTAAAACATTATTGGAATCCTTTTGATCTGAATGTCCATATCAAAGATTAAAAACATGAGTGAATGCAAAGTTGTACATCAAAAAAAGTGAAAAGTATTTCCTTTTTGCATGCGAGATACATCGTACATTTTGCCAACCTGTGTGTCAAAACAAAGTTGAGACCAAGGTATCCACTATGAGAGATCAAGAATGACACGTTGGTTCAAAATACTTCATCATTTCATAAAAGGAAGACATCAAGCCATCCAACATTTTATAAACAAGAAATTTGACCATCCAACAAACTGATCAGATTTGCTTATATAAGTACTGGTTCAAAAGTTCACACGAATGTCCCTCACTTTTGTCTATACCAGTTTTCATAAACCCCAATTCAACTGTACAGTTTTTAATTTTTTTCCCCTTTCAGTAGGATTTACTCCTCATTCACCATACTTGTAACAAAAGTCAACAGTGTACAACAAAGATTTGCTCTTTTTGAAATTATGTTTCCCCCCTCCCTCCTTTCAATTTGATAAACTATTTTGCAATACACTTTGAACAAACTAATGTGTTAATATCAAATATGAATCTGTTAAGTATTACAAGAGTTACTCACCTCATCACTACACACATATGGTCTGTAGTGATATTGATTCCGTATGATAACCTCAGGAGGTTGCATGTAGTATAGGTCACATGCACTTCTAGTGGGTAACAAACGCTGTAAACAGCCAATTTAAAATTCAATAAGTGAAGGTCAACTTATGTCATTTAAAAGAAATTCTAGTTTGCAGACAGCAAGACTTTCAGCAAATAACCACTTTTTACACTATATGGATATTATTTTCTTGAGAGGCTTGATATCAACTTCTAAATGGTTTCAGTTTTACAGAGATTTAAAAAGGAGAAAAAAAAAAGAAAAAAAAACCCAAAACTTTCTCACTGTTTTTGTTTAACAAAAAGTTAAAGGATTCCATCCAGAATATTTTTTATCAAAGTTAATTTCAAGCCCTTTTTATGTTTTATTCTTTCCCAATATAAATCTTAATTTTCTGTTGCAAGTCTTGCAATCTGACTACAGAAGAAAATCAATATTGAATAAAAAACTGATTATGAAAGCAAATAGAATAATGCCATTTTTTAACATCTGCAATCATCACAGTGTCTGCATCATGTCCCAAGTATGTTCTATTAGGTAGAATGTATATTTGAAAAGTTGAGTACCAGCCGCCTGAATTTGAAAATATTTTCTGGAGGATAGAACAAAGAGGCCTTGTTACTTCAAGTGATGACCTCAACAGCAAGACAAAACCTTATGACTCATTAGTAAAGCAAGCGTTTAAAAATAGTTAATGTTGATCCCAATTTTGCAACCAAAATTACTGGTTAATTGTGACCAACAAAACATGGACTTTGAATCAATTGCTTCTCAAGGTTTGTTAAAAATTTAATAAAGAAAGATAGTGTTGACATTAATATATGTAGTAACAAGGATATTCAGTGTACACCCTCACAGGTCTGCTTAATGTTCAAAACCACAGAATCTTTTCTGGCAAGGCTTGTAAACTTTCCAAATATATCTTCTTTTTGCCTCAAAACAGGCTCAATGATATGCGAACAGTCTGGAAAGAAACACCAACCAGAAGAAAGGTACCATGTACATCGAACAAAACACTGATTAACTCTAATAAAGCCATAATTTTTCAATACATATGTATGGAAATAGTAAACCCAAACTGACCCAAGGAAAATTCTATTTAAATATTCTCAATGTACATGGTAACATTTCACCTGCTTGAAAACGCAGCGCAAAAAATCCTGGAAATAAGACTTGGGACATAAATGCAAGCACTGTGAAAGCTGAAAAGATGATGCAACATATTACCAATGTTATCATGTATACCATAATTACTTTTACTGACAATAGTGTGCTCAACGTTATAAACCTATCGAACTTCATTAGGCACAATGTTGGTTGGGAAGGTCCAGGTCCAGTCCAGTGTATATACATACTTCAAATTCTCCTTGTAAACCGCCTCGGAAGACCCAGGGCTCAGAATCACCACAAGAGAAAGCCTCCTTGTAAAGGTTTGAGCACCCTAGATGATTAGCAAAGAGAAAATGAGATAAACTGTTAATAGGGGTGCAATATATGTCCTTAACAAAAAAAGTTCATTTTTGACTGGACAAATTCAGGACTTGCTGCAATCAGCCGATGTTTACTGCAGAATTTGAAAAAATTTTCCTTATGTGCATTTGCTTAATGCAAGTTTCAGGAGGGTAAGTAAATGTGAACTTTTCATCAATTGTGCCAAAAGGATTGTAAATCATTTGGGTGAAAATTTTGATGTGACATAACAGATTGAATTGAATTAAAATAATTTGTCCAACCTATCATTAAAAACATTCACTCAAAATACTCCATTTAATCTTACCTGTCTTGTAAAACTGATTTTTTTACTTCGTATTTTGAATCATCCATTACATGTTTTTTTAAATTACTTAGCATTATATTCTCTTTTGAAAAACAAATTATCACATTCACACTTTAAAGTCATCAAAGATGACAATAAGGTGGCAGTTCATTAAATTTTTTTTTTAATTTCCCACAAATAATTTGTTGAAAAGAGAATGTAATGAATGCCATGTAGCAGCCAGCCCATTTCCAACCAGGAGAACACTTGGTATGATAGTCAAAGTTTCCTTGCCGAGGTCTTTATTTTTTTACAATATCATTTTCCAGTCATGCAAATGACCAAGTTCAGTATCAGACAAATGTGTCATTAAGTACACTGAAATGCAGATCAAATATTTCTTAACATGATTCATACACTCTGACAGCCATTACTTAAATCTATTTCATAGAGTGCACAGAAATTAAGTGATGAAGAATATTAACACTTTTGGTTGATCCTGAACTGGGCCTCCTATGACTTCAATCGCCTATCTCCTGGTTAGCATCAGACAAAATAAAATCCATTTTTAGACAAATACACAAAGCTTGTGTCATTTAAAACAAATATCATTCAATGGTAAAAGTGGCTTCTCATTTTAACATTCCTTTCTACCCAAATTCTGAATTTCAGTATATTCTGTTGCTAATTTCAAATTTCACATTGAATGATTAATTTGTATTCCAAAAATGACAAAAGCTTCTTTGCAGAGATCTCTCTTGAACTGCAAATAAAAAACACTTGTCCATTCCTTCTTGTCTTCAAAACAAATATGTGTGATATGAGACGATGGCAAACTAAATTTACAAATCAACAAAGCATAATGAGAAACAAAAATTCATGATCAGGATGAAAAGTGAATAATCATGCTGTTTCAGTTACAGGATAAAGAAAATATTGATCGATGTGATACCAAAATTCTTCAGTCATAACTCTTGAATCAAATTTTTGTGTCAAGCTTCCGAAACTTTCACTGCACTAAGTGCTTAAAAGCTTATTTTTTCATGAAACAAAAGGAATACGCAAATAACATTTGAAGACAAGAAGAAAGCAACTCATGACTTTGTTATTCTAGTGTAAAGTGATACACAAGTATAACATCTGAAAAAAGCAAATATTAATGACAGGACATGGCTGCTTCATGGGAAACCCTACATTACACAAATGTGATGGTCTAGTACAGGTATATATTGGGCTGGAGGAACAGATGCCTACATGAAAGATTGTCGTTTCCCTTGGTTTCACTGCTTGATAAGGTACAACTGCCAATCTCTGCAAACAGAAAAACGTGAAGGAATTAGTAAGCTGTTCAGCCAGCGCAGTTCATTTCTCAGGCTAGATAGGAAACAATTCGACATTATATTTGTTTGAGACTATTTCATTAACACCATTCCTCCACTAAACAATGTCCCAAATGACATCCAATGTTTGTGATCTTTGTCATCACTATTGTGTGTATCTTGTCCATTAATGCATTTCCTCTTCCAGCACCAACAATTCATATGGCTTGAAATTCTATTCAATAAAGTGTTTTTAACTTGCCATCAGTTTTCCTCTACAAACATAGTCCTACCTCCCCTCCAATTCTTCATTCTAATATTATCATACAAGTTTTGAAATTGCCAAAACATTGACCTTGACCACAATTCAACACTTGCTTACACTTACTGAAAATCACAAACGTTCATTTCATTCATCTTTTTTAAATTTCTAAAACACTTACTAAGCCATGCGACATAGGCAGCGCAAGTTTCCAAAACACCAAGGATGTCCCACACATATGGGAAGATTGTGTGTGCTAGGGAAACATTTGGAACCTCATACAGACGCTTCGCCATGGCTTGGACTTTCTTAACATCTGCGAGGAAAGTGTCTGCCTTCTCCATCCATTCTGCAACCTTTAAAAAAAATATTTCCAAATTTATTTTATTCTCTAGTATACAAATCAGAATTGGTCTTTTTAGTGACTTTGAGACTTTGAAATATGTCTCTGGCAAAGACAGGGATTTCACAACATCCGTCAACAATGAATAGGAGTATTTCAAAATAAGTAACATGGTCACTTTATAAGAGATGCCCAAGGTTCAAAACTTTGCAAAATTTGCATATATTATCTTAATTATGGGGAAATTATACCGAAACACTTTGTGTCTGAAAACACATTAATTCAAATGAATTTCAAATGTCCCATATCTTTACCTCTGGTTGTTTTTTCTGTGCCTGAGTGACAACATGTGCATTGCACTTGACCCATCGAAGATTCTGCAGCATCTGTACTCCCTGTGTACCATGCTCAAATGGCAGATAGAACAGATCCACAAGAAGAGAGAGATCCTCATAGTAGGTTGAATTATCACAGATTTTTGAGGATGACTGTCCATTTTTGTTTTGCAAGTCTTCAGAAACAACTTCTACTTGCATTAGATTATCAAGAGATGCATTATCATGATTATCAGAGTTAACAGATGATGTATCACTTAAAGCACAATCCATTGGTTCACCAAGAATGTCTGCTACAGTACATGGTTGATCTGATTCAGCTGCAGGACTTGCACTACTAGAACTGCTAACAAGGCTGTTTACGGGGTTCATTGTTGGTTGCATGTAGGAGGGATTGTTCTCAGATTCCTCTAACCCTGGTAGACTGCAGTAGGCATCTGGAATTCCAGCAGGACTGGACGGTGGGCCTGCTACAGGTATGCAAGTGTTAGGTGGAGGAACAGGGGTACTAGCCGGGCTAACAGCAACTGGAGGCATACGATTGTGGTCCAATTCCAGCATCCATTCTTTGAGAGCCATCATTAGAGCCACTTTTGGCTGGTATCTGGTGTCCAATCTGGCTGGCAAGTCCTCAGTTGAATCAAATTCACTTTCTGTTTCCAATTTAATATCTGATACAACTGGACTCAGACGCTCACCATCTGAAATTAAAATGTCATTTCTAACATTAATCAATTCCAGGGTCTTGCCAGCTGAAATAATCCCACCATCTAAAAGTTTACATGTTCTTTCAAACATTGTATTTGTTTATTGAAGTGATACCTCAAGCTAAACAAAAACACCTTCCTTCTTCTCCAATCTATTGCCATGTAAAATAATGTACACTACCTTCAAACGTATGTAACTCTAAATCAATGTGCATCAAAACCATTTATCACTTTTGATGAAAGCGATTCTACCCTACATGAATAGTGAAAATTCTGCTTACCTGAAATCACATCTTTCTTTAGTCCATCACAGTTTGATTTGCTCCATTGTCCAAGTGTATGAAGGGCAATATAGTTTCCTTCAAATTCTGTATTTGGATTTGTTAAGACGCCTCGCAAGTAGGGTATGATCTCAGGAGAGCGACCGTCATAGGGCCCCAGGAATATTCTCCTAGGATCATAGTCATTTGCATGGATGTTGTCCCAAATAATGGGTGGTCTTCGAAGCACATTGGAAATAGCCATAAGATGGCTAACTGTGATCTTTTTGGTGACCACTTTAGCACCTGCATAAACAAAATAGGTTTCAGGTCAAAGCAGAAAACTAAAAAAACCTTCATTTTACACAGCAGCACAGCCAGAGTCTTTCAACTAAGTTGAACAAATTAACATATCTAACATAGAAGATGGTGTAGGATAAGCAGTGTTTTCGTTCCCTAAATGTTTCAGGCATATTAGGCCAAATTCACAATTATGCAAGTTGACCATTTCCCTCAACTATACAAAATTCCCAAAACTATTAATGGTACTAGAATTCCATTCCTTTTATAGTAAAGAAAAGTAGAACTTGTTACCTGTCCAAAGAATATCAATTCCTGGCATAAGTTTGACACCGATGGTATTGAGGTATTCTGACATCACCATGTCTGGTACAGCACGCGAGGTACAGTATTCTGAAGAGATATACATTTATTTCAAAATTCATCTAATGCTTAAGTTTAAATTCATAAAAGTAGACAAATAATACAGCAATTAAGAACTTCAATTGCAACAAGGAAGTTTTGATGTTTGTTTTTTTCATAAATTGACAAATCAAATCATGATATAATAATTGAAACATTTTGAAATGCCTTCAAGTTTTTATAACCCTTCACGAAAGTTACTCCCTTTCCTTACTGGAGATTTAATATGTTGTCCCTCAATGAACTTACATATCAAAACTTCAAATCTATTACAAGTTACAACAAATATCTTAATTTTTTTTAAAGAATTGATCTGTTCATTTTCTTTAACATGATTAAAGTGGAAATTGCATGAAAAGAATAGCAAGCCATTTCCATTGCACATTCTTAGAACCTTAGTTCAAGAATATCAACAACTTTTTCGAAACTGATATAGTTTAATTACTCACAACCTGATTTGAAATTTGAAGACAGTTCAAGATATATTAAATGAAAATTTACCAGTTGGGCAGAAGTAGAAGTGTGGTTGGCCAAGGTGCTCATATACTTCATTGGTGACCGAGACCTGAGCACTAGCAAAGGACTGGAAAACACTACGATCAGCTTCACTCAGCTCTGTATCAATATCGTCAAACAATAGGGCAAAACCAGTGCAGCCAAAGGTGGCAACCTTAAAAGAAAATAAGTTTGAAAAAAATTAATTAATTGATCAAGAGAACATAAGTATACATCTTTCTTGCTCCACGCCTGGAAAAACGCACAGTAAAAAAAAAGGCATTTACACATGACAAATATTTTGACCCATGACCACAAATGTCACTCAAACATATTGGCACTACTGCATGACCACAACATTACACTTATTAATACGAAAAGTGAAAGATGAGAAAGAAAAGATTGACGAAAGAATGTACTGTAATTATACAAATGTGTGTACCTGTTCCAACTTCCTTTTCAGACATTGTACATCTTTTGAGTTAGAAAAAGTAATATCAAGCCCTGGAGAAATGGCATATATGAACTCTACATTGTTTTCTGTAGCAGCCTCTATCAAATTGGTCATGTTCTCTGAAAATAAAATCAGGCACATGTTAATCAGAATCAAAAATAATTCTTAGCATACCATGTCGTTTATATTTTCTTTCTTTTCACACTTACAATATAGAAATTTTTCAAAACTACTCACCATGTGATGACAGATCAAACATTTGTTTTTGATCAATTAATGTCCAAGTTTTGTCACTTTTAAGCATAATGGTTGAGCATCAACAAGAGCAGATATGGTTTCATTCTAAATTCAGATATGAAAATTTAAGTGTTCATCTGTCTCACCACTTGGGTTTCTCTGTGCAAATGTGAAAAAGCTTTACATCACACTAACCTGCTTCTTCCACTGAGTACAGTTCCCTCCAGAATGCTCTGTGTTTGCAGTCATCTTTCGGGGCATACATGTATGTGTTCAGTCCCATCTTCTTCAACCTGAATGTGCAGGTGATCATATTTTCATTTCTATTCAGCTAAAAAGGTTTCACTATAGCAACGATTTATGAAGTTTCATAAACAAGACCATCTGGTGAATTCAATCTGCCATTGACAAACTGCCTAACCAAGGTGAACTAATACCAAAAGTATCACTTCAAGTGACAGTGCAGGAGATATAGCCCATACAAATTACTTTTTTAGATCAAGGTAAAAATTGATAAAACTGCCCATTATGGATGTACAATTTTCTTCTTAAATGTAGGTCTAGGTCCATGGCCAACATAAAAGTCGGAGTGACCTACTTTTTATAATGATGACTGCTTCACCAAGACGAACCCATATTCTTAAAGTACTGTATGTTTCTGTGACAAGTAGTTATAGAGAGCTTGGACAAGATAACGGAGATGGATGGACACACCGAATCAGCTTCCCATCCCCCACTTTGGAACTAAATTAATCTAGAAGTATATTCTGAATGGTTTACCAACATCGCTATCTGTGCAATAACTGAAAATTGTCCTACATATTTGCATTACAATTATTGTTGTTTACAGATTAATATTCTAAAACACCCACCATGAGAAAAGCAACTTTCTCTGCTCTGTACTCCATGGCCTTCCATAAAACCCTGTGAAAAAAATATTAATATTAATTTTAAGGAATATGAGAAGTCTCGCTAAAGTATCTGATAAAGAATTTCACTTTTGCTTCAGACTTTTATGTGTAAGTTACATGTCCACAGTATGTGCTTGTTTCTTTGGGTTTTTTTTATTTAGCTGGAGTGATGGAGCTAAAGATTAATAGACTGGAGATCCGGTGGATTCTCGACAAAAACGGATTGTTTAATTTGTTCTTCCAGACACTATAGAGCACGACACAGGATACATCAATATTGATTTCAGTTTCTATGGTTGTTAAATTTAATTACTTATTCAACAAAAGTCAGCTTTCATATTCCTAGTTTTCGACATACTTCAACGGATTTAAAATTTGTATTTATGCGCAAGCTTTCTTCAACATCAATCAGCTGTTCCAA